AATGCAAGCTTTCTCCCCAGCATAGGCCCCAGTCCTGCCTAAAACTAGTGCCGTCAGAGTTCAAACTGATCACAGAGGCCTTGCCTATTTTATTCCCTCACTGTAGAGGCTGTTTAGGAGGGAGGCTGAATCCAGTTTCAGAGTCTAACATGCTTATAAGCCCCTTTGCAGAAAATTTTAGTAAATGCATTTGTAAATACCACTGTGTGATTAAGGCCTTGATCCATTTGTCTAGATGAAGAGGACCTGGCAGGGAGTTTGGCCCAAGCACCAAAAGGTTGCCATAAAATTCACTTTTCCATTGCCTCCTCTCCCCTTATCATTTTTTTCCTTTTCTATTGTAATAACTAAAATGTAAAATAAGGATATGCAACTTTTCTCATCAAATATGTTGCCTATATTTTTCCCAATTCATCAAGTGTCATTTGTTTATGTCTCTTGTTTGTAATTCAGAAACTGAAATGTTATGTAGCTAAATCTATGTCTTTCAGAATATTTTTTTGCTTTAGACTAATACAGTAAATATTTTATCCACTACCTAATTATATAACTGTGAGTTATTATTTTCTTCTTATTTATGCTTTTCTTACTTTTAGCCCTCCCCCCACACACACCCACATACATACCCCAGGACTATAATCCTGGCCCTCCAAAGGCTGAGACAAGAGGATTACGAGTTAGAGACCATGCCTGAGCTACATGGTGAGACATTGTCTCAAAAAACCAAAACAGGGCTGGTGATTTAGCTCAGTGGTTCTGCCACCTGCCTCACAAGAGCAAGGACCCCAGTTCAATCCCCAGTAACCCCCTAATTAAAAACAAAAGAAACAAAAATCTTTTCCCAGATTTTCTTGTGTCAGAAAATTGAAATAATAGTACAGTGAGCACTATTTGCTCCATTAAATGAATCAATAGCTGTCTTTTGTCCTGTTTGTTTTCTGTCTCTTCTTCTCTAAATATTTGATTTTTTATCCATTTGAAAGTGAATTACAGAAATCATGACACTTTACCCTTGAATATTTCAAAATGCATCACCTCAGAACATTGTCCTACATATTCACAGTATCAGGTCTAAGCCAATTAATTGATAGCAATTCTCTAATGCTTGATCCATATTTAAAATGTCCCTATGAGGACCTAAATGTCTTTTGTAGCTATTTTTCTTTCCTAAACAGGGTCCAATCGGGATTAGGTACTACATGCATTTCATTATTGTATTTCTTTTAATCTAGAACAGTGACTCCACTCTTATTTCTCCCCGACATTGTCTTTTTGATGAGTCCAGAACCTCCAGAAGTCACCTTCTCACCTTCCTATATCTCATTAGTAGGGAAATGGTGAAGTACATGGGAAGAAGACACTGAGGTAGCTGGAAATGGGCTTGAATACACACCCTCAGGTACTTTGTGGGGGCACCACCATATCAACACTTGTGCTCTGTGTACCTATTTTATCCATCTATAAAAGTAGAGTCTGTCTAGAGCAGTAGTAGTGAACCATAAGCTGCAGTGGTCACAGAGCCCTCTCTGCCAGCATTCTAGCCACCTTGCCCCAGCAGCCAGCCATCAGATAACAGTTGTTTTTTTCTAAATTAAACCCCAGAGTTCAGGTTTAATTGCAGTTTTGGCATTTTGTGATAAATGACTGGGTTTGAGGTTGCAGGTTGAGCATGTGGTCTCTAAATGGTTTGCCATCATTGGTCTAGAGCAATGGTTTTCATTCCGTCCATCCCATCAACTTCCTTTGTAGATGTGATAGTGGAATGAGCATGGGTTTGGAGAGATAGGACTTCTGGACTTCACTGGGCTCTACCCCATAGGTTTGCTTCACCACGAGTAGGTACCCTCCTCCTTAACTGCTGGGGTTGGAACCCATTGGTTTTATGAATGCTACTCAAATGTTCTGCCACCAATCAACACTCCAGCCCATAGTTATGCTCCTCTCTCTCTCTCTCTCTCTCTGCACCCCCCCAAGGTCTTTCTATGTAGTTGAGGCGGGCTTTGAGCTCACTATGTTGCCCAGGCTGGCCTCAAATTCATGGCAGTCCTTCTGCCTCAGCCTGCCAAGTGCCAGGATCACTGGCATGCGCCAACATGCCCAGCCTTGTCTCATCTATTTTTATCTAAAAATCTCTGGATTAGACTAGCTGGATCAGAGCCACAATCAGATATCTGGGGAGTCTGAACAATCCTGGGTTCCAGGGCACACTTGTGGGGTTCACCTGTTCCTCCTGAGTCCCAGTAGTTAGTGGTGCTACTTCTAATGGTCAGCAATTCTGTGTGGGGGAGTGGATTAAATACAATAGGACCTCTGAAAAGGCTCTAAATCTAGGTTTCCTCTGAGATTAGGACTGAAAGGATCATAAATTGTTTGTTTTTACACCCAGGCTGATTTTTTTTTTTTGGGGGGGAAAGCATTTGGAAACAATACAGGGCTATGAACAGAGGGGAGGAATGCCTTTAGGAGGATAAAGGCCCTGACCTCCCTCAACCTGCAAGGTCAAAAGAGTTATTACTGCCCTTTACTCTGAGTGTGAAACCCTTCACTCATCAGGTACCCTGCTAAGGAAACAACTCATGAGAGAAGGGCTGTGGTTGTTTTGACAGGAAACTGAGGCTCTGAGGGGCCCCAGCTCACAGTGGGAGGAAGTTTCAGAGGTGACAGGACTGGGTCATGGCCAGCAGCCCCAGTCTTTCAAGCCAAGACCCACGAGAGGAGCCCCTGAGGCCCAGTGTCAGGTCAGGGCTGCTTTCTCCCTGCACATGCCCTGGGAAATGAACTTTTCCACAAAGACATCTTGAGTCCTTGCTGTCCAGGACAATAGTAAAAA